AATGTCTATGTAAAAATTGTTCATTTAATTAACAGAATACGAGAAACTTGTTTCTTCGCGTGTACAACGATGTTCGAAGAACTGAGTCCATGGTGTTTCGTTTAAATGAGCCGTTTATTCTAAAAGTGGCATAAGTCACTTTACCGTAACGAAAAGTGGTGATTTTTTAATGTTTCTACGAAATTATTTATACCGAGAAAAATATCAGTATCCCGAGATAACAAATACAAGTAAATCTTCTCGAAAGTTAGCTTCCATATTTTGAAACGTGTTAAAACGCGAACCCTTAAATATATCGACTTAAGAACAAAGTGACTTATGCCACTTTCAAAATAAACGGCTCAAATATCAGCGTCGAAATTCTTTGAATGAAAAATCCATTTTTTCGATTGACATTGAAGACTTAATTGCACAGTCGCGGAACAATTCCGCGTTCGTAGAAAATAAGACTTGGCTGGTGAGACTTGCCTTTTTCGATTTCCCTTTAATGGCAGAGAGACCAGGGCTGACGGCGCTTATAAAAAGGCACGTGCCTCAGTTCACGAACGACCCCATGCAGGCAAGCACGCGACCACCGAAAACTAACCGAGGAATCGTACAAGGCACAATTAATTTATTGTTCGTGCCGGACCAGTGACAATTGGGGAGAATGCGGGAGAAAAACAGGATCGTTGTTTTCTTCTGTTTCGTCGAGGGGGCGCCGGGACCGGATGCTGGGACGTGATCCTCTACTATGCCTTTGTCACCGGCTAAACCAGTGATTTGTGCTGTGCGGCGAGGCTCTTCTCACGACTTCGCTGTTGTGCTCACTACGGATTTATTTGATGCTTTTTAATCGCGCCGATCATTAGCGATTATTATTACTCCATGCTATTTAATCGTATCAATCAGTGATATATACGGTATACGGTATCAATCTGCGGATTTTATGCACTTACGACGAAAATTAGTGAATAAGATACATAGCAGTGAAAAAGAAATTTTGAAGAATTAGAAAACATCGTCGTATTATCTTCAACTCGCTAAAATGGCCAAGAAACCAAATAAATGTCTATCTTCTTCATCGTACAATTGAAGCAGATATTTTTTATGCATCTTTTGCAAGAATATGTAACTGAAATACAAAAGCTTGATGGTATTAGAAAAATTTAAGAATATTGTCGCACTATTCCTAACTTATCGAAATTATTAAAAGAGATCGTTACACTTGATTTCTGTTTCTTACAATTGACTTGGAACGCATTTATTTTGCACAAGAATCTGCGGTCTAGCAATTATCCCCACTTTTATAGACAATTTTGGAAGTTGGTATTCGATTGTTTTTTTTTTTAAGAATTTTTACACGCAACAAATGTGTAAATGTTACCAGCTAGAGAGCCCAATCGTTAAGTGTCTTTACATTTTCATGAATTAATCACTATCGTGTAACGCGCAACATCTTCAATCGTGTTCTATTTGTACCTGTAATATTTAATAATCGCAAGTAGAGAGATAAAATATCGATAACCTTTATCCGATCCCAATATCATGTAATTTAGCAATAGATTACAACAACATTTTGGCATTTTTTTATAAATACAAGATACCTGGAATGTGTAAGAACCGATGTATTAAAAGTTACACCTTTATCGAATACATTTTTCGAAAATATATTATTTTCCTTTTTACAAAACGTTATATACACGATATTGAGATTTAATATTAAAAATACTAGGGATAAAATATGAAAGGATGCAGATCTAAAATCACGCACATTATACATTTTAGCAGAAGGAATGAATTTTCTAATCGTACACCACCGGTCGAATGTAATCAACAATTCTAGTTTCGATTAGTTTTTACGCGAGGTTTTATTTGTTTGCGCGCAGGAATTTAAAGGTTTGAACAGGACGTAAATCATAAAACGGGTCTCGCAAGGATCGCGGATCCCGCTTTCTACGAGCCCATATGTTTTGGCTTAGTCTCCATAATTCAGCGAACAGAGAATACGGCGTACTCCGCCTTTTACGAGTAACCTAACGGGGGACAAATTGGAGGTAAATAGGAAATCCCCGCAATGAGACGAAAATCCCGCCACCTGCGAAGGGACGACGGTTCAATGGACCACGAGCAGGTATTCAAGCTGTAAACATTGAAGACCATTGAAAACTTCATTCACCGTAAAATCGCTTGGAATGATTTCTAACAGGCACTTGACGGGTGAGTTAAAACGGAAGGACAAGTGAATGCTATTGTAGGTGACGGAAAAAATTATATTAGGTCTAACGGAAAGTTCTGTTCTGTTATCAAAACCTGAGAATGAAAGTAAATCGAGGCTAGCAAGAGACAAAAATTGTCTCGTTGTGTATTATGGAAATGATTAACCCTCTGACCGCGAGAGTTATTTGTTACGCAGACGCGTTCTAAGAATTAGATTGAAAAGGATATAGAAAGAGAAACAACAAAGAATGAACAAATTTGTAAAGAATGTAAAATTTAGTAATTTTTAATTTTATAAGATATTTGGAACGCGAATACCGCGGTGGCCGCGGTTGTTGGAGGGGTAAGAACGGAGAACTGCTGATCAACGTAGCTTCGAAACGGGCTAATTAATTTATCCAAAAGATGATAGTAATCGGGCATTGTGGAAAAAGGAATCCGATCAACTTTTTCAAATAAAATACGAAAAAAAGTGAGTGTCGTATTGCGAAAATGCATTGCGTTTAATCTTAACTTAATTCAAGCTTAACACGTTGAGTGCCGCGTCGGCCACATAACGGGCGATACTAATTTTTAGCTAGGTTTCGAAATTTATTTTTCGTTGTAATATATTGAGCAAACTGAATTTTCAAAGAATACAAAAAAGAGTTAAACTAATACGTTTTACGATGATAATTTCTAGTTTTGGTGTCGTTAATTGAACGACTTTGATATCGTGGGAATTATTCGAAGCCGATATTCGGCTCTTAACGTGTTCGTACTTCGTGAAATTGATATCGTTGAATAAATATTTAAATTCTAAACGTCATGATTTATGATAAAGTATTACATGTGTAGATAAACAGATAATAAGAGGTGAAGCCGATCATTTTTTTTAAATTTCTCCATGAACGTGTCCGAGTCCGATTGTAAACGAGTTACAAGCAAATTGGCGTTAGTTGAAAATCTGGCGGCAACAACACACATGTTCGCTCGTTCAGAGTGTTCGAAGGATTGACTTAACGAAATCGAAGTTTATTAAACTGGTTTATTCCAAATGCGTGTCTTGCAATTGTAATTCCGATCGACAGCTTTCAAATCGGGAACAAACGTGTTTTACTCGTCTAAAAAGAGGATGTTCAATGAACGAATAGCAATGAGCTGAATTATCAGAGGAAAATATGACTATATTCTCTCGCATAGGTATGCAGCGCGCGCAATACTTGTACAATATTTACAACGCTTACAATTCCAATTGTCGTAGAGCGGCGACAATTCGCGCCGCTGTGTACGAATCGTATATTCCGCTTAATTTACATCGATATAAATAATAAGAATAAGATTACGATGTATACACGCGTTTTATACATGCGGTTAACATCCTCGAACGGATATGTGCCGAGAAAGGTTTTTCGAGGGTTCGCTCTGTTTATTTATAGTAAAATACTTTTCGACGATTCAAGTGCACTGGAGACCTCCAGGATACCATTATGTACAGAACGGTAAGTATAATACTTATCATTTTTTTCTTTGTTTTTGTCGGTCCTCGCGTGCATCGAACAAACGCGAATAAAAATATAACAACGTATTACATTTTCCGTAACATTTTTGATTTTTCTTTCTCTTTCTTTTCTCTCTCTCTGTCTCTTTTCGTTTCTTTGTTTCTGTTCCAGTAAGAAGGGCGTGATTCTTTGGTCGGTTGGTACAAGCACCGGTCAGTCTTCGGATCCTATGTATTAGAAACATCGAAATATGTACATGTCCTTAAGTGTTTTACGACACGACTACGTAATTTACAGGCCAACGATTATGTACATCGTGCCACGCCGTCAACTTTGAAAACAGTCCGTAAAACAGTTACCTGCCGGCACGTTCTTTCGCCTTTTATTTACAGAAACGGCGCCTGTAAACTAGATTCACCGTACCTACAGAGAACACTTTTGCGCGTTTCAAATCACGCGAGTCTTTGTGAACACGCGTTTCCGCTCGTCCGCCGCGGCTAACGGAGAATTTCAGCCGATTCACGTCCAGCGTGAATTCCAGCGGAAATTCTTCCCGTCGAACTCGAGGTCCCCGGCGTCCCCGAGTTCTCCGCGCAGCGAAATCGTCCGCCGATTTCCGCGAATCGCCTATCCAAGTTCGGCCGTTCCTTTTACGCACGCATTATTCCGTTAAATTAACGAACGCAATAATATTAGTCGATGCAAATTTCGATCAGATCGTCGATCGAAGGATCGTACGGCAAAGGAGTCCGCTAACGATCATTCTCGCGACGCGCTTGTTTATAGTACCGCCGGTGATAAAATAGTCGAACGAGGATAGAAATAACAAAACTGAATCGCGTTAACGATCTTTAAGGATATGTAACCGTGTCTACCGAAAATCGAAACCGCGATCCCTCGTAACTATCGTTTTACGGGAAACTCAATCCTGCTCGACGAAGCATTTTATGCGACAAACTATCTGAACATTGCATTAATCAACATTAGTGCAATGTTGCTACGAGGCTCGTCCCCTCCGAGCTACGGTGCGCTTCGAACGAAAGATTTCTTACACCTTGATATGTGAATGAAACACACGCAACGGATCCTGATAACGATCGATAGGAGAATAAAGGATGTTCAGTCACTTCTCTTTCTTTCCTTCGGAAACAGAAACCCCTGGGCAGTGTATATTGTTAAGTATATCGGTTGCGCGAGCAAACGAATCCGCCGGCATTTCTGGATGAACCTGCACGCCAGAAACTTCTCCGATTACAGTAAATTCTCCCTAATTCGCGCTCGGATTCTGCACGAAAATGGACAATTTGTGAGGAGGAGACACGATTATTCGAGCCTCGCGGCTCGTTTTCGTACCTGTTGGCAATTGATAACTATAATAAACGAGTCGCGAGGCTTGGATAATCGTATCATCCCCTGTTCAGAAATTGTCCATTTTTGTGCGCAATCTGAGCGCGAATTAGGGAGAAATTCCAATTCGCTCCCGAGCTTAAAAAGCGTCGCGGCTCATTTTCATAGTGACCGATCGTAGACGACCGTAAAACAGAGTCGCAAGGATCGAATATCGCATCCCCTTCGTTTCTGTGCACAATCTGAGCGCGAAACAAATGTTCGAAATGCACTACCGAGCGTGGCAAAAGGCTGGTCGGATCTCATTTGTTCGCGCACCAGACAGGCCGATTGTACGCGAATATTTCACGACAGCGATTGATCAATCGCGCGAGGATGATTCGATGATCAAAACGATGCTAATTGTCAACACGCACGAAAGTTCAGAATTCGGAAGCCGGCTCTGTGTCCCGTCACAATCAACGCACTTCCTCCTTTCATTCGACCCTCATCCCGCGATACAGATGATTGTACGGAGGCACATAGGCAACGGGGGGCATTGTCGTGTACGTCCTCAAACCGGCACTCACCTGGTGAACCTGTCCACCGTCTTGAGCATCGATCACAGTGCCGTATTGCTGCGCTTCCACGCCGAGGTCCGCGCAATCGTTCACGCTTAAACGATTGTCCATATTGTTCCGGCGATTGCTACTGTGCCCGGTCCCGTCCCGGATTTGTTGCGAGTCTACGATCACGCTGGTGTATCCCGCCGGCGACGGTTCCAAGTGATGGTGCGAATGCTTCACGGGATTATTGTTCGTGGTATGGTGGTCGGACTGCGGCAGATAGGGAGCCTCGTGATGATGAAGATTCCCGGCGGACGCGGCGTTGTAGCTGTCCTCGTTGTTGAAGCCGCAATTCGGGTACATGATCACGCCTTCGTTCAGGTTCGAGGACGCCGCGTCGGGCACATGATGCATGTGATGACGACGATAGGGATGATAGCGGTAGCTTCTCAAAGGGCTCGGCATGTGATTGTCTATGGCGTCGGTGCTGCCGCAAGAACTCGAGGACGTCGAGTAAGGTCTCTTCTGCTGGCTGCTTTGAGGGCTGAGCTGCTGTTGCTGTTGCTGTTGCTGCTGCTGCAAGCTGGTCAACGATGTTTCGTGGTGCAGAAGATGCGGGGCGTGCTGGCGGTCCTGTTGCGCGTTCTGCGGGCTGTGTTGTTGCAGGTTCGTTAAGGAATTGGCGTGGTGCAACAGATGCTGGTGTTGCGCTTCTTGTTGCGGTTGAACCGACGCAAGCGGATCCTGATGCATTTCTGACAGAAACAGACATGTTTCAATCGATATTCGTGTACAAAGGAGATTCGACGTTTTTTCTATCGTAAAATGCTACAACTTAATGCCTCGCTTTATGTGCAACGCGACACGCAACTTCGAGTTATCTGTTTTCTATACTGTCCGAAAATTTGATAAAAACATCCTCGGTTTCGCTTCTAGTTATTTATTTGAAAATATTACCAAGTCTGCTACCTTCTTCAATCTGTATCCGCGATTCGACGATATTAACCCTTAGCACTCCGAACCATTCTGGACGTTGGCTACCAGCTACCCAGCGCCACTTTTCGGCAGAAACGGGCATTTACAGACCCTCGTATTATTTAGTATGGTTTTGGAACTAACTGACATATTATAATGATATTGGACTTATATGAATTTGGCTGGAATCGAGAAATTTGCAAAAAAATCAATATTTTATTTTTTATGATTTTGTTATTGTTCGTTTTATAATTTTGTTTTGTTGTTGTAATCGCTATCTACGCGAACTCTTTCTCTCGTCGCCTTGTTGCTTGGACGATATCACTATCACTGCTATCAAAACGATAGACTAACTGTAGAAGAAAACCTTCTACAGTTAGTCTTTCTAACATATCTGTATAAACGTCTATCTGGAGCTCATCTTTGCTACTACTTGTGTCATGAGACTCATTCGTGTTTGAACGTTTTGCCATTGTTCTAATAAAAAATATGAATAAATGCATAGGTTGAAAATTTCTAATTGTCATTACTAACTCACAAGATGATATTTACCAAAAAAACTTTTACCAAACAATTTATTTACCAAGAGAAGAATCGCTTTTCCGATTTTCTCACTCGTTAGATCTATCTATAC